TTAGACAAGCACTCTCACTATGCAGCTCAGGCTGGCCTTGAGCTCACTTTGTAGCCCAGGCTGGTCTGGAACTTGCAGTGATCCTCCTGCCTCAGCCTCCTGAATTCTGGGGATCACAGGGGTTTGTCACCACCATGAGCAGGTTTTAGTTTGGCTTGGTTTGGTTTCCTGTTGTTGCTGTGTATGCTTTGATGTCTGTAAGCTAATTTTTCTCTGCCTGCGGCTCACTTACATTATAACACAATAAAAATGATAGGTGTGTACCAGTAACTTGGGAGCAAGAGCCAGCTTTTAAATCGCCTGTTCTCTCCTGGATCAAAGCCAATAATACAAGGCCAGCGCACAGCAGAAGAGTGTGTGAATTATGATGTCAATCCATCCAGCTGGAGTGGTTTGATTTGCAAGTGGCACGAAACAGATTATCATTCTTTGCATTACTGCTTTACAGTCTAATTTTAATTTTGCAAAAGATTTGTCTTTAGCTATAGACTGATGCCTTTCAGGTCTTGTGGGCAGCTGCTGTTTTGTAGCACGTTAATTAAAGGGCAATTACTGCTATTTAGAATGCACCAGGGTTCTTGCCACCCATTTGATTCAGGGCTGTCTCTTGTCTCTTGGGCCAGGTTTGCAAATGTGGTCCAAATCAGGAGTTAAGGATTGCTCTATTATATGGATTAGTAGCTTTTCCTTATTGCCAGATATTATGGTTATTAGGTATGCTCTATATAATTAGAGTTATTGCTGCCAAGATTGGTTGTTTATAATTAAAACTAGATAATGGTTAAGTGCATGGATCTAATTAGACAAATCTGGGTTTAAGACCAGGTTCCCACGCCCAGCTGTGTGATTTTGAGTAACTTCCTTGGCCTCTCTGCTTCAGTTTTCTTATCTGTTTAAGAACATCCTGATACTGTCTACATCATGGTGTTGACAGTTATTGGGATAATACAAATAACCCTGTGTTCAGTACATAGTAAATACTCAGAAAATGGTAGCTAATGTACTAAGTGGACTATAAAAATCCAGCAACTATGAGACATACATTACTTTATATACTACTAAAAATTATAGGGTGTTATACATTAAAAAGAGATATGTACATCTCACAGTAGGTACAATAAATAAGTTATGCTTTTTAAAAATCATGGTAGGGGCCGGGGAGATGGCTCAGTAGGATAAGCACTTGACTGGCAAACGCAAGGATCTGAGTTCAATCCCTGGTTCCGCCAAAAAAATAAAATAAAATAAAAAAATAAAAATCATGGTAAAGGGGCTGGTGAGATGGCTCAGTGGTCTAAAGCACCTACTTAGAACAAGCTTAGCAAAACACAGGGTCCGCGGTTCAATCCTCCAGCACCACATGCCAGCCAGCCCCAGCCCCGCCCCCTGGTGGGCTGAGCTGGCCACACACACATATATACATACATACATACATACATACATAAAATAAAAATCATGGTAAGGACTGGCCAGATAGCTCAGTGGACTAAGGCAGACACAGTGGCCGGGGTTTGATCCCCTGCATGCTGTTCCGGCCCTGCCCTTGGGGCACACTGAGATGGCGATTGAGACTGGGCAGGGTAGTACGCACCTGTAATGCCAGCACTTGGGAGACTGAAAAACAGGAGGATCACTATGAGTCCAATCTACAGTCTACATAGTAAGACCCTGTGGACCCTGTAGACCCTTACTAAAAAATGCATAAACATACACACACAAAAAAAAATCATGGTAAAATGTGTAACGTGCGGGCTGGAGAGATGGCTCAGTGGTCTAAAGCACCCACTTAGAACAAGCTTACCGCGGTTCAATCCCCCAGCACCACATGCCAGCCAGCCCCGCCCCCTGGTGGGCTGAGCTGGCCACACACACACACCACTCACTC